CTCGTTCAACATTTATGGCTTTATAACTGGAGAATTGAAACAGCTGGAATGTTTATTTTAACGGCACAAACTAGCACAAACGAATGAGACCCTTGTGGTGCGATTTGGACGTTGATAGGGGGCTGAGTGACATCACTTGTCCAACCTTTATGGCTTTATAACTGGAGAATTGAAACAGCTGGAATGTTTCTTTTAACGGCACAAACCAGCACAAACGTAGCAAAAACGAATGAGACCCTTTTGGTGCGATTTGGACATTGATGGGGGGCTGAGTGATGTCACAGGCAATAAAATGTAATGTTTAATTTCTTAAAAACGCTGCCCGCACAAACAATGATTTCTACGGCACAAACCAGCACAAACACAGTGCAAACAAATAGTAGCATTTTTATTCCATTTCTGACCACATGGGGGGCCAGCTTCACAGAGGTCCATGTCCATGGAGACTGGCCGCACCAGCGAAACAACAAATGTCCCGGGCCACTTTTAGGTAAATTTTCTGCTCATAAACGTGGGTCTGCCATTCTAATAGCACTATAATTTGCTGTTCCAGAGACTCCAGTTTCTTGCTCAGCTGCTGGAGTTGCCAGTCCTCCTTGGTTTCACACAGAAAAACATATTTTAAAAAAGCTAAAACAAGCTAAGGATAAGCTAAAAAGCTTAAAACAAAGCTGCAATGGAAGCGGACATGACATCAGATTACAGCCCAGTGGGCCAGTCTCATATCAACCCCTGATCTTTTGCCCTATGCACATTGTATCAATAATGAAAATCACTACTCTTCTACAGCACCCTGGTGCTTTGCAAGTGGAGTTACTCGTGTGACCGAAACTGAAATCTGGACCAGGAGCCGGATCAAATCCAAAGTCAGGAGCAGGAGATGAGACCAGGCTGGAACCAGGAGCTAAAGCTGTCTCTGTTTCCTTTGTAACAAAGCAGAGGTTTCAGGCCTGGGGAGCTTGTTCTCAGAAGCCAGACTTCAGACTATTTGCAGAGAGTCTAGTAGCCGTTCTTTTTTATGTGACATATAGGTGCAGGCAATTTTCAAAAGTGGGGCTAACATAAAAAACACACAAACAGGTCACAAAGTGGTATTCCTGCCAGGAATATGCAGTTAGGTAATGTGTCAGACGATCTGAATAGCTTTTAAAGACATAATGTAGTGAATTCAACACTTTTTTAAATCTAGCAACTTCTTCGAACGGCTAATTATTGTCACCCCGAAGAAAAGACAACTGCTTGCTGCTTGTGCAAGCCAGCATTTAGCTTATTAAACAAAAAATTGCTTCCTATTGGATGGAAAAAACAAGGCACACAGAAGTAAGTACACACAGATCTGCAGAAAGCCAATCAGAATGCAACCAACAAAGCCCCAATTTAAAAGATCTAGATGCCTCCTAGTCCTCCTTTACTCCCCGCGTACACATATGTACTTGGAGCATCTGAAGCTGTGTCAAGGGGACCTTGTTAGAGATCTCTAGCTTGGGAAGCTTAGTATAGCCCTCTGGTTGACGGAGGCTTAAAGCTTGTGGAGCTTGATGGAGGACTCCGGCTTGGGCAGCTTAGCTCCACCATGGGTTGAGTGATACAAGGAACAACAGACTGCAGAGCTTTTTGCCTGTTGGCTGAGTGGTGTCTTTGGGCATGAGGGAAACAGTGTCTATAGGCAGGGAATGAGCATGAGAGCAGACTAGGAAAAAACAAAACAATCAACGCAGACAAGGAAAACAGATTTAGAAGTAGAGCCAGGATGTATAAACAAAAAAAACAGGAGTACACAGAAACTAGGATAACATACTAGAATATTTTTCACAAAAACATGATACATGTTCTGGAAAGAACATGTGAAAAACACAGGCTATAAATACAAGCAGACTAACAAGACACAGATAAAGAAAATGAATGATTTCTTTTTGACAAAAGAGCAAGTATATTGTCTATAACTATTGTGTATTGCCTAAATGTCTGGAAAAACAAATCAAAATTTAATTTTTGCCCATATCGCCCAGTACCACTTGCAGTGTTTTCAGAGGATCTATTATAGAAGTTAGAAGAAAAGGCATGACTTTTCAAGTTTGACAAGAATAAGGGGTGAAGAGTTGAGTAGAGAAGTCTAATGCTGGCAGAGGGCAGTTAAGCTGATTGCATGCTACATGATTCTAGCTCCGATTTTCGAGTCACAGATAGATTTTTGGGATCTGTAAACCACCTAGCTCAGTGACAAATTGCTGCGTGCATGCACTCGTTTCAAGTGAAGCAATGTGATTTTCCCAGTCTGTAAGCTGTGAGAGTAACCTACAAGTGAATATTCACAGCAGTTTTGTCCTCCATGATGTATGGCTCCAGGGAATGGAAAGAGCACCATTTCCTGTTTAAAAAAACTTAAAAATAGATTTTTCGTTCTCATTTCTTTTTTCTAAAAATTCTCAAGCTACAGCTTGGCACATGATAAAGGCTGTTTATTAATGAAGTTTATTTCCGTGAGACAGTGTGATTTTGTCATCAGACACGCTTTGTCACGCATCACTTAAGGTGTAAGATCATGTAGTTTGTCAGTCTTGTCTGTAATCACTCTTGTAGTGTGCACACAACAGGTCCCAAGTGATCCACTTGTGTCCACTAGGCATTACTGGCAGTGCCTCCCACCCTGGAAAAGGGGAGGTTGGGCAAATTAGCGCCAACATTAACATAAGGAATTTCTGGAAGGGTAGATGTGTGCTTGAACTAAAATCTACCTTACTACAACCTGCCTTTCCCGTGCATCTTTCTCCAGTACTGCTTTATCTCCAGAGCCTTCACATGTAGGGCCCAGTCAAAAGGCTCCAACAGAGAAGAACAGAAGATCAAATGTTTGTGGGTGCAATCAAGATCTTATAGCACTGGAAAAAGAGAGGCTTCAGCTAGAAAAAGAACAGATCCAGCTTAAACGAGAGGAGCTCCAGCAGCAGGAGAGGCATCATCTGGAGCTGGTTCAGCTAAAGAAGGCTAAACTTAACATTCTGTCTAAACAGCTCACATTGGCAGAGACACAATTCAACAGGCCCATTTCAGTGCCAATTATATAGCCTTTAGAAAAAGGTGAGTTACATAATCAAGTAGAAACCATGCATAAATGTCTGTATAACACAACTATTAAACAATAATATAAATTGTAGCTGTGTAAATTATTTGTGGATTCTCTTTCCAGACAGACGCACAACTGATAAAAAGGAGCCTGCTTTGTGAAATATGGAACCTTTATATTCAGTAAATACTGCAGGCTACTTACTGGCAATAACTTCAAGCAATAACTTCAAGCAAACATCTTCTGTAGCTCCTGACCACTACAGTGGTCAGGAGGTATTTTGGCCAATTTCTCTTTTGTTTTGTTTACGTCTGTTCATGTTCTGTTCATCTTGCTTAAATAGCCCACTTTCTTTCATGTCATGTTTTAGTGTTGGTATGCAGTGTTATTTTTTCCAAACATAACTCTTTGCACATTTACTAAAAAGTCCACAGAATATTGTTCCACTAGTGCTATAAACGTGCTATTGAGGTGGCCTGGTAAACATGTTTTTTGTGGTAGAGAGCACTTTTTTCCTCTGCTGTAACTTCCAACGAAGTCATAAATATTTGTCATTCCTGGAGACTGTTGATGATCTTACTTCTTTAAGCCATTTGTTTAATAAAGATACTGTAAGATTTTGATTAAAGAAAACTTTGTTTATTGTTTTGAATTAAATCAGGCATGCCAAACTGGGGGCCTTCTAGGCCGAAGTGCTGTGGAGACTAGCATTTACTCTCATCTTACGCACTGAATTCAGTTCATGTAGGCCTTGCTAATTAACTCATGAGCTGAATCAGGTGTATTTAATAAGGTGGTGTGCTGAAGTCTGCAGTGTTTTGGCCTGCGAGGACTGGAACCTGACACATGAGACTTAGATGAAGATCAAATTACATTTTATATTTTGGGAACTTTCAGAAATACAATAACCAAAAAATAAAAAGTTTGTCCTTCTCAAAAATACATCATAAATACAACAAAAAAATTGTGTATGAATTGCTCAAGTGTGAGTACATGGGGATAATATTTTGTGCACCCCTATTTTATAGACATCATGTTAACATTTGAAAATGAACTGTCAATTTTAAGTTGATCCTTTGAATTAATAATTTAGTGACCATTAGCTGTACAATGTAATGAAGCAACCTACACATAACAGGAAGTGGAAGTATTTAAAAAAAAATTAAAAGCTAAACAACAATTGCCTTATTTTAAAATTTAAAAATGAGGTGTGGAAAAGCATGAATCACTGTTCTTCAGGCTGCAGTACAGAGCAGACAAACTGAAGTTCTTTCAAAGTGCATTTCTCCACTATGGTGAAAAGCCCCTAAAGCAGTAAGACCTTAATGTACAAACATGCTTAAATATGCTTAGATCTAAGTTAAAAATGATAGGGTGTATGTGTATGTGTGTGTGTGTGTGTGTGTGTGTATAATTAAGAAAAACTAAGGTGAAGTTAGCACACTATGCAAAGCACGTTAGTATGATGCACACACTCTATGAGCAACTGAGTAGCTAAGCAGTCAAAAACATGCAGTGTAGTCCATAAGTAAACAGAGGTATATATATGAAACAGTTGGTTTTAAAATGAATTAAATGCCATGAATGTTTTTCAGAGAAATTTAATTGTGTTAAATGTATTTTTTGTTACAATTTCTGTATAATAACACATATGTTTTTGAAATGAAACTTATATGTAACACCCCCTCAGAACTGATAACACTGAGTGCGGTTATCTTGTAAAACGGAGGGTTTGTAAAGCACTATACAGTGTACCATTTACACCATGCTGTGTACCTCACTGAGGTACTGAATTAGACTTCTCTCACATTTAATGGATTAAGTATTTTACCCAGAGTTAATTTTCAATTTCATTTTGTTTCAGAGTCCAGGGGAAAGCAACTGAGAAATCACTGCAAGCAAAATTGGATAAGTTCACCATTGTCAATGAGGAGGTGATCACAAAATATGAAAATTCTCCAATGCTCAGTCACATGCTGCAATTCCTTAAAATTGAGGTGAATAACATCTTACAGTCTTATATTATCTATTAATGTTAATGTCTATTCTTGCTGCCTATCTATGTGGGATGCTGCATCAAAGCTACTCCTTTTATTATCGGTCAGTTGTTTGTATCTCCTATTACTTCACCCATTTAGCCACCACACCAGAGGGTAGTGTAAAGAGAAAGCCATAGAATTATTTTTATAATATTTTGTCTAGTATTCATCAAAGTGATGGGGCTTTATCACACTTGGGCCATTTCGGTGTCTGACATGGTCTCAGACCGCTGAGTCACGGTTTTCTGTGCATATGTGAGCACGCCAAACAAACTCAGACCCCTCTAAACGGCCCCAAAAACAAACCAAACTGAGACCACCTCGAGTTCAGTTCATTTGTAGTTCATTTTGTGGTTCGACTGATTTGTGCACTGTGAAATCAAAACAGCCCCATTCCGCTTTTGCTTTGCTTTATGAAGACCTGAAGTCCATACATAAAGCCACAGTCTTCCAGCACTTCAGCAGGTAAAAACAGACCACCAAGCATCATTTAAAAGGTTCTACTCAGGATAAAAAGCCTGTCGGTGATCTGCAACAAGACAACAGAGCTGACATATTAAAGCGATGAGATTTTACAGTGTTAAAGGCTGATGCTGGGCACACACGCAACATGAGTTTTAAGCTGCTTTCACACTGAACACTGAATGAATAAAAATTCACCGCTGCTCTTTCAAATACACTATTTCATTGCAGATGTGGATTTTCGTCAGGTGGAGCACAGCCAAAAACAGAACCCTCCGCCGCAGACACACAGGCTCATTTTTCCAATTTTGCGCAATGCATGTTGGCCAATCGTTTCAGCGTGGCCAACAGGCGAGCAGCTGGTGGGTGTGTCCTCTCGCCACCTGAAATGTTAGATTTATCACAGAATGCTGCCCACTTTGCAAGCGCTGCGCACACCGTGAGTGGTGTGAAAGGGGTCTGAGTTTTAATGGAGTTGTGGTCTGAACAAGAAGTGATCTGAGATCTCATCAGTGCTAAAAAGGACCAGAAAGAAACCTGAGCCCTCTTCATAGTTCACATTGCGAACACAAAAAGAACTGAGATCATTTGCAGTTGGTTCCCTTTCAGGTTCACTTTAACAGAACTTTGGTTTATTTGAAAAGAACTATATGTGAAAACACACAGTCAATTATACATAGTCCATTATTTAAGAACAATTCTCAATATTTAGTGTGTGCAATATCAAACAACATTTGCTAACTGCCCAAGCCATGTACTCATGTTAAGTTCTGCATCGCTGGTTAAGTTCTATTGTTTAGGATAGTTGTAGTCCATCAGGTACTTCTAACACCACAGAAGCGCTTGTAAACACAGAGTCTTGAAAAAGTACAAAATGGCCAAAAGTTGTTTAGTTTAGGATTGTACTGTCATATGCAAAGACAGCAACGATTTGGGATTTCACTGTTTGCCAGCTGAAAAGTCAGCCCAAAGGAGTCGGGGAATTCAGAGGGGTTACCCACTACTGTGCCAACTGCATTTGCTATCTCTAGCCTATATTCTTTTTTAGAATTAACTGATTAAAATAAAAATCATATTAAGTAATACTGAGCCTTGCCTTCTGGCGATAACTGATTTCACTTCAATTTCGCGTTTTAAAATTTGAGACTGTAATGCATACATGCATTTGTGAGATCCTGTTGGCACACACTTTAGTTCTTATAGTGCACTCTTATGGGAAATTTGTAGGAAAATTGCTCTAGAGAAAATGAATGATCTATACATTTGTAAAATTAACATTAAAGGGGATTCCCTTTTATTTCTGCATAATTCATTCGTTGAGATGTAAACAAAGTCATTCAGAGTGTTTTGATGTGAAAGCGTACTGAAGAAAAACTTAACAACTTGGATTTCTTTACAATGGTGGTGATAGGAAACACGAGGTGTGATGTCTACAAAACAAGCATAGCCATTGTATTGACCAGTGAACCTACATTTGTCTTCTGAGCTTTTATATGTAATGCTCATGGTAAAATAGCAGCAAATCAGAAAACGTACATTTACCTTTATGTACCTCTCTGCCATGAATGAATTTTTAAATATATATCTTAGGCCAAAGCTATCGTAAAACAATGTCTCAGGCATTAGCCGTTTAATGAAATACATTTCTGTGAGGGAGATTTTGAAAGAATTATACTCTTTAGACATCTGGTTCCCGTCACCACCTTTGTGAACATTTTTGACACAGTAAGTTTCTCTAGAATGGAGCATTTCACATGAAACCACTCTAAATGACTTTGTTTACATATTGCTCATTAAATTATGCAGACATTTTGAAAATCTGTGGGATTCTCCTATAACATTCCTTTTAACCATATTGAGATTAATACTTTTTAGAAGTATTATTATGTCATTGTATATCAGCACTACAATATATTAATTTGTGCCACAACACTTTTCTAGCACCCAAGCTACTTGCTCAGAAACTTCATATACAGCCCTTGTTTTGTGATGGTATTTTCCTAGTTATCGCATATAACTCATAAATAATCTAGTGTCCTCGTACAGCCTTTTTTGTTCTAAAGTTACCAAAGAGATTTTGTAATGTTCTTTGTCACCTGTCCTACCTTGAAATGCATTTCAGCTAACTTTCTCTAATTTAAACAGGAAATGAAGTTGAAGACAATGCTTAAACAAAAAATTGTTGAGCTAAAAAAAACATTTTACGCATCTCTTCCTGAATCCATTAAAAGCACAATGCTGCAAGTCTATATGAGTAAGTTGCTCCTTATGATATTTCTTAAATGTATCAATTTAATTCTAACACAGAAAAATGAATAACACTGTATTGTATTAGGTGCTGCTGCCATGACTGGAACCGGCTCTATGAAGAAGAAGCAGGTTGAGCTGTTGGAATATATAGAATCATCAAAGAGTTAAATGTTCCAGAGGCAAAGAGAGAAATGATTGAACTGATGGATAGGACAATGGTTTGTATTTGTTTGATGAGGAAATAATCAGCTATGAATTAGAAATCAAATGAATTGAATCAATTTGTCTTTCACTGTCACGATTTGGTCTGATTTTTGATTTCCTAGAAAAAAAATTTCTGCCATTGTCTACAGACAAACCCCAATCATATCCAACTCACTTTCATGTACTCTAAACAACACTGGACAATATGCTTCCCACAGAAATCTAGCCTACTGTACATCCATTTTGAATTTTACATGGCATTTATTGCTACATTTACTACCTATTTTCAAATCTGAAAGTTTGCTAGTTTTAAATTTTTGATCCAAAATTTTAGACCCTTGCCATTAGTACCTACAGTGGCCCCAAATAGTATTTGGACACCTTAACCATTTAACCATTTGTAAACGTCAATGAATGTATTTAGGTTACTTTATAAAACATTTGACGAAATGATATTTGTTTCAGAGAAAAACATAAAACTGATGTTAGACTCTTTGTGTGGAGAGACTGCACTAAGAATTCTGTAAAGCACAGAGGTGTTTGTCTTGCAGTAGTGTCGCTGAGTTTAATGGGATCATGAATTCAGAAGTGTATATCTTGGATGCAGAGGTCTGCAAAAAAAAATGCCCAAGTGATCAGCCATCTTTTGAAATAAGATTTCAAAAGGAAATGTCAAAAAGAAAATGACAGTCTTGGAATGGTCTGTTCAAAATAAATGCTTCTGGGTTTGACTGGGTTTTGTTTCCTGCCACAAACTTTTTAAGTGTGGAACAAATGTCCAAATACCTCATGGGGCAATTGTATATACAATGAAATTTACAAGCAAATGTATTACCATCATCATACTAACGTGTTTCTTTCAAAAGCATTCCACTGTGGAGGAAATAAAAATTGGACTAATGGAGTCAATGGAGTATTCACTTCTTAATGCCAACACCTTGTCCTTCATGGGTAAATTATATTCAAGTGCACATTTATTTCTTACCATAAAATCAGCAAAATACATTTTACTATTTTTAGAATTTACTCATTAAATTCTACATTAAATATATATTTTTTTATGTTACAGATGTCTCCAAAGAGACAGAAGAACTGAAGAAGTTATCCACTTATGTCTGTGATTAATTATCTACTAAAGAAAAGAGTTTTTTGAAACTCCACTCGTCTTCAATTCAGTATGTTATCAGTCAGCAGATATTCGCCTGCTTTGTAGGTCTAAATCTCACTATTTAGAATGTCTTTTTAGTTGCTTTGGGGTCTCACTTCATTGTACAATTTTTAATTCTGAATCTGCGTATACCTCTCTATTAGCTATGATTTTTTTTTAATCTATGTGCTAAAAATGGCATCCACAATAACTGGAACATGTGATGAGGTGAAGTCTGATCTCAGAGCTGTCACTGTTGAGCACCAGCTGGCCTAAATCTGAATACCTTTTCAACGGCACCACAGCATTTTTGTGGATTCCTGACCATTTTCAAGTCAGAGGTTTATTTATTACGGTTTTAAACAAAACATTTTATCATAAAAATCAGAAAATGTGGCCATTACTCAGCAATGGATGTGATATCTGCCTAAAAAAACATACCCAGGTAACATTAGCTAAAAGTTAAACACACTTCCCTGTACGATTTTGCAAGTCACTCCTTTTCTTCGAAAGGCTCAAGCATGATAAGTTAGTGAAATATATTACATTCAAGGACATTTACAAGAATTAGCCAATACACTGTTATATATTTACTCACTTTCCATTTAACATTAGTCACCAATGCCAAATGTCTTTTTTGTAAGCTTGTTTGAAAACTGCAGCAGCCAGATTTGGATTCATCTGTGTGTCTTTTGTTATTTTATGTTTTGCCTTAACTGCTAATTCTTACTCTTACCAACATAATTGTACTTCTGCCAAATATGACCATCAAATCTAAGTGTAAATTTAAGTCATTTTTTGCCACTTGTTAGTTTTTGTTGCTGTATTTTGTCTATGTGTGCTCTTTCCTTGCACAATGAAAATAAGTATCTTCTAGTTATTGATAACTGCAGGATATAACTGGGTTGAAAAAAATTAAACATTTCTTCACTTTGCAACCATATGCATCGTGTTGACATTACTATGTTGTGGCTTTTAATTGCTATTTCTAACTTATCTTTTATGTTTTTTTAACTTGTTTTATTTTGGTAAACAGGGATTTATTCATGAGTGAAATGTAAATTCATTTTAAATTCAATCAATTCCAAGAAATCAAGTCCAGAATGTTAATTGTGATTTGAATGATGGAAATAAATCGAAATCATTTAATAGACTAATACATTTTCTGTGTCTGTGTCTCACTATAACCATAGCTAGACTACCACTTGAAAGTGAGGGAATTCTGCCAACTCACACACAGAACTTAAGCTGAGCGTTGAATACTTTCCTCCAAGCATGCACAGCTGAACTACTACACTGCACAAGCTGAATATGTCTCTGAAGACACACACTTGTCTATAGGAGTGGCCAGTAAAAGTGGGTGATGACTAACATAAGAAATCATTGGTAAAAACAACTTTTGAAACAATGTTTTTAGGTATATAAACCAATTTTGTTGCAGATACATATAAAAGATTCTGTACTACTTAACTGGAATAAGACATAACACTTCTTTGCAGACAGTACACAAGCATGCAGACAAGCATGCATGTGCCTATGCTCAGTGTTAACTCTAAAAATAAAGTCATAGAGGTCAGTAAAACACGTAATTTTATTTATGCATAAATGTACTTTGTATAAAGACATCATTTTTATTCCTATTTCCATGTTTATAATTATGTTCATGTTTATTAGTTCACATACTAAATTTTTTCACTCCCCCTTTGCAAGCATCTCAACTTTACGGAAGAAGACAGTTTCTTGAAGCTACTGTTTCTTTAATTAGCTGGCTTAACCAGCCAGCTAGTGATAACAGCTATTTAAACTCTTTTCCCTTTTTCAGTAGCCAGTCTTTCATTTACATGCCACTGAACAGACACTCTTATCCAAAGCAACTTACAATTTACACTGACATCAGTAAGGTGATGGTAGTGTTAGCAGTCTTGCCAAAGGACAATTGGTATAGCACAGGGTGCTTGCCCAGGCAATGGTCAAACCCCAGTCTAGAGTGAAGAGGGGTGTTACTCCCTGCACTATACCAACCACCAACTTTCATCCACAATATTGAGTTCTTTTGCTTTGTCAAGCATATTTACAAGTAGCACTGCTCTCTTCTTGCAGCCATTTTAAACAAGTTGGAAAAACAATGCAAAGACAATAAAAATGCTACTTAATATTAACATGTAAATAGATAACACATTGCGGATGAGTTTATATTATGAGAACGACAAGGTAGATCAAACAATACAAGCTGTTTTATTTGGCTAACTAGCGGAGTAACTGAATATGTTGTATGCCAGTTTTTAAACTGATCCGTGTAGTTGTCATATTGCACAGAAATTAGGTTGCAGGCAGCTTATGGCATGCTACACGCAACTAGCTGCATTAAAGTTTCACCATATAAAGTCAGCCTGAGAAATGTATGTCTGGTTTCCTTGGTCTGATAACTCGCTAAGGCAAAAAAATCAAAAAGATACAGACACACATACAGAGACAAGGCATCAGGCATCAGTTGTAAATTGTGCAATGGGCAGCAGAGAGCGCCATTTGTCCTAAAATCATAAGTATGCCATCCTGGGTTACCTGAGCAAATGACACTGACATATGGCTATTAAATTATTTTCACTATGCTGGCAAATGCAGAATAATACAACTCTTCACTGAATGTCAACAGGACTTAATCCTTTGAGCTAAACATAAAAGATTCTATGAGAATCAATTATTAATGATGGGCATACACTATGTGATATTTGCCCGATTTTAACTCCAATTTGCCCTTCATCCTTCAAACAATTTTTCAGATTTTGCAAGCCAGGAGCTCTGTCGGATGTGCCCCTTATTCACCCCCGGTTTGCATTTTTGGTGTGCTACTTGTGTGTGGGTAAGCACAGCAGAAACAGCTCTGTTTGTATCATGTGACAACAGCAATATCTAAGATTTTAGTGCTCTTCCTTATGTGTGGGATAACTTCTTTTTGCTTTATCGTCTAGTGTGCGCACCCTAACAATAAAAGACAAGAAATTCTTTAAAAGACTGTGAAATCTGTTAAAATTTTAAAAGTTGTCATGTATATTCAGTTTAGGAAGGAAAATATGTCACTTCTCTTTCTTAAGATATTCAAAGAGTCCACACATGATGGCCTTTGCTCACTACCTGGAATCTCACAGGAAATCTTTTTAAAGCAAAGCCACACATCTTCTGAGACAAGTATGACTGAATGCCAATGAACTGACATGGTAAGATCAGCTCTCAGTAATGTGTGCACAATATGCATTTGGCATATCCAAGCCAGGCCCTTCTGTGTATCTGTGGCAAAGAGGAAGCATAGCAGAGAGACTATATGACTGACACATTCCCATACAAAGTGCTCTCTTATTTCCCTGCTGCATGTGCATATGCACATTACTAAGCACCAGGAAAGTGTCAAGATATTTACCCAAAAGTGTCTACAGAGTCTCTATATACATCAATATGAAAGACATACTCAAGTATTTTTAATATAATCACTCCTATATAATATAATACCACGAATTGTCTCTTAACAAGCAGTTGCACCCAGTAACCTTAAATGATAACAGAGAAGTTAAGGCCTATTTTCAACAATATGAAACCATATGGATACTATACATTATAAGTCTGAACCTCACCCTAAATCTAGTGTACCATACACACACGTTTGTGCCCTGTTTAGCGCTGCCATGTCTCAAAGGAGTCAGAAGGATAGCCTCTAAGATGGCCTCTTCAGGAGGACTGAAAAGGATGTCATCCTAGATCATCTCTGCTTGCTAATGTGTTACTGGTGTTCAGTAACACATAATGAAACAGTAGCAACCAGTACTCTCCTGTACAAGACTAACAGCATCCTGATGATAGGCAGTTTATAGCCCTTAGACACAGACTCTGCCATCTAACACCAGCCTTAGCAAACCTGTCTCACTATCCCTCTATTCTGACATACACTCCCCACAACACTATCTACTTATATTTTATTTTTAATTACTGTACTAACCATTCAGAAATTTGTCTGTATATGCACCTCTTCTACTCAAAAACTGACAAAGTGTAAAAGCTCTCCAGTGTCTCTCATAGATTTTTATAACAAGGATGACGTTACACACCACCAAAGGTTTTGTCATTTGCTGATGTACCTCTCTTTTTCCTTCATCTAATAAGTTTGGTCAGAGAGTAGAACACTGGTTGATGCACATTATCTTATTCTGGTTACAGCCTTTAATTTATCAGCTAGAGAAGAGTCACATAAAAAATACATAGCAGTGTTGGCCAAAATTTTTTTTCAGGCCAGGTATAGACACTTCAAAGCTACCTGTGTTGTTAGGTGGGTCCAGAATTATTTTTTAAAATATAGTGTTTTATGTTTTACACTTTCTACAAATTTAATTTCAATACGTTCAACTGTAACTGATTCATAGGACAGCTAATACAGTGATTAAAGCAGTTTGCAATTCATACTGGGCCAAGTAGTAATTCACACATATTTCTGTTAGTGTAATCAAAATAATTACCCTACAAAGTTAATGTGTTACGTATTAAAAAGATTAATTTTTAAAAAGCCGTTAACCCTGTTTTCTAGTTTGACTCTTCAAAGCTTCCGTAGTCCCAGGCTGAATGCCAGCTGTATGTAAGCTCAACAACTGCAGCCCTCTCATTCAAATACAGATTTAAATGTCAAGTTCCATAGATCACCCCTTTCATGAAACCTGTTTACAGCTATGGCCATGGTGGTATCTATGGATAAATCAACAACCAGCAAATTAATAAAAACAATAGTAAAGTGGAAAGCTCCAGGGCTCCTCATAACGCTCCAATGAACCAAGAATCCACAAGCCGTATGTACTAGAACAAGAGCCAGAGGGCTACAACCGCAGAGGCATTGGAACCATTGACTGAATATATGATATATACGATATGTATACTCACTGGTTGACGCATGCGACCATTGTTGCTCTCACTGGACACACTCAGTTGAGTTCACCCTGGATTCATGTGATTTCCAAGTTCAGTTCATGTGATGAAAATAATGAAAATAAAGGTTAATATAATAATGAACAATTCTAATCATATAGAAATGTATAAGAATACAGTTAATAATTCCTTAAACAAATCCAAAATACTGTCTGGATTGCCACATCTTAAATATAGCCAGAATAGATCTACTTTTGATTAGGGCCTGAAGAATGCTACATCTGCAAACATTCAAAAGGGGCAGCTCTGAAAATAGAGTGAGAATTTGAATTTGGATTGAATATCACAAAAATACAGAATGCTAGGAAGCAAACGTTAGCCTGACAATTACAGTCTAAAATTTAATAAAAAGCCAGGAAGTACATGAATTATATTTTAATGATAGGTGAATAAAAACTATGAGGTCAAAAAACTCAAGTCCTGGGCTCCCAAAAGAACCACAGAAAAACTTATTCAAACACCCACCATCAATCAGTATAGGACCTGAAGTGTTTCAGGCAATATTCTTCCCTTTTTGGGATTTTTTTTCTTTTAAAATAAAATGCTACAGCACCAAAGTGAGATGTCTGAGTAACAGCAAAGCAGTCCGAGTGCAGTCACCAACAGAACAGAATTTATTTAACGCCCCTCACAAAAGGAACTGTTTATGCAAAAAAAAAATCTCATTTGAAAGTCTTAGAAAAGTATTTCAAAATGTTACTGAATTGCATGTGACTGAGTAAATAAAACAAGTCGCTACCCACCTGTGCAATCAGCATGCGATCTTTCATTCTCTCACTCCCTTTCTGTCCCGGCCCGTCACTCATATCAGGCATCTTCATTAGAGAGCCTTCACTGGCTGACCTCCAGGCTCCCATTTCCACTGGTCACTCAACAGAATGCCAGTTATGGCATGACACTGATCCAGCCAGCCATGCAGTGCTCTGCCAGAGGATTTGAGTAAGAGAAAGGACATGAACTTTTGCCCTTGAACGTGAAAATGCTTTGCAAGCTTGCAGATCGCCTCCCTCTGCAGTCTGTGAAATGGTGGAATGTTCCAGAATGATACTTCTCTGGCTAATTTTGCAGAACGAGTGCTAGTGTGTTTATTAGATCGGAATAAGCCCACTTCTCATCTGTGGGGAGCAATTTGTTACTTTTTCTCCATTTAAATTACAGGTGGATATATTTATCTTTTCCTGAGAACTATGAAAAGACAAAACTTATAATCAAGTCTATTTGCAAAGAAAAAGATCTGATTGACTGTCGGCATTAGGGAGGGTCTCTGTGCACACTGAGCATTTTTTGCTTGATGACAGGTGAGGGTGGCAGGAGGAAGAAGTAAAACATGATATTACTGGTTAATATTATTTTTCTGGTGCATTACTTTTTCTGGTTAATACCATAAATAAATTAATACCAATCAAATTTGGAAGATGTTTTAACAAAAATATAGCTAAAGTCATTTCATTTTCATGGAATATTACAGAAAACAAGAATCTTGTCATTTGAACACGTGATGAATCAGGCTTAAATTACCCAGAGACACCAACAAAGTACAATCATATAGGTTACGTTAATCATATTTTTTGTAGCTAACAACAGCAACGACTACACAGTAAAACATTAAAAGTTATCACTGTAAGTTAGCTGTCCCAGATCTCCTAGAAGTGACCCAGCCTACTAGCTACATGCTGCTATCTCACTTACAGCGCTGTGGATACAAGCTAACGCTAAGTTAACTTAGCTAGCTAGGTTAAATTAGCTGTTACCAAGCAAAGATAAAGAACTGAGCTAGCCTACCTAACTTACCAGGCATTACTTGAGATCCGAGCGCTTTCTCAACTCTGTCTCGTCTCAAACACCTAAAAATAACAGCGATTACCGTCGATTTTACCGCAATACAGATTAATGCTAAAACAGCGGGCTAGCCTTAGCTATCCCGACTGACCTGACTGAAAGGTTAATCTGAAGTAACGCCAAGAAAGACACGATAATTAACGCCACTGACAGCGTTAGAATATGTCATTATAAGTCTGTTAATAACACTAATATTCCTCAGAATATGAATTATAAGAATAACAATATAAAAACTGCACTATTTTGCTCACCTGTAACTGTTAATGACTCTGTAGACCGACTGTGTCGGCTCGCGCTGATTCGTTGACTTTCCGTTAAATTTTGAATTTTAAATGACAGATTGTGCACGCGGGCTGCAGCCTGGCGGCGGAATACAGCTACAATCAGGAAAAAATAGGGTTCTTTGGTAAAGATAGTAGTTCTACATAGAACCATGAACATTTGCATGCTTGAATGGTTCTTTGCGTGGTGAAATGGTTCTGGTTGATGCAGAATGTGTTGTAGATGCTTCTACACAGAACCTTTTTGAAAATGGTTCTATTTAACATCAAAAACAGCTCTTCTATTGTTGGAAGCTTGACAACGTTTTGGTGCTAAATGGAACCATCTTCTAAAAGGTTTTAAATAGAACCACACAGCACATTCTCTATTAACCTGAAGAACCATTTCACCATGCAAAGAACCATTTAAGCATGCAAATGGTCCTATTTCATAATTACAAATCAAATGTGGGAGTGACTTACGCAGAAATTTGTGTGAGTTGCAGCAATTATATTTAATGACAGTAATGGAGCATTTCACATCAAAACACTCTGAATGACATACATAATGAAATTCTAAAAAAAACTGAGTGGATTTCTCGTTTAATAACATGCATTCAGGCAGCCAATATCCAGCCTAGATTCCAGGACAAGCGTGCCTTCCAGCCCACAGATGCTGACAAGAACTGAAATTTGGCACTGAAAGACAGAATCTTTTTGTCACTCGGTAGTGTTTAAATAATACCGTCAGTACCATAAAGATTTTAAATTTCAATATCCAGCTCTAGTCCCTAATAAAACTAGCCTGACTCAGTTAGGACCAGAGTGGTGTAAACCCTCACTAATTCTGTACTAGTACTAAAACTCCATAAAATGAAAAGTCTGCATCGGTTTTACTGTATACTTTTATAAACTCTGCACTGCATACTGTAATTTTACTGTATAGACGCCTCCAGTCACTTCCGGCCTATGCGGGCAAAGTGTTGGTGGCTGGCTCTGGTGTGTGTTGGTATGTTTAGGGTGGTGAGAGAGAGAAAAGGAGAGTGTTTGGGGGGGCAGGAACAGCTGTGCAGGGGGGAGTAGATCTCACAGCTGTGGAGGAGCGTTGTGTTCTATTTGAACTAGACACTCTTACCCTGATACAGCTGGACCTCTTCTCTAGGGACCACACGACAAGACAAAGGCATTTCACAGTAAACTTATGATTCTGTGGATTCATAATAAGAAGATATCTTTTGGGAAGAGATATTGACAAAGGCACCAAAAAGCATGTTAATTCATTCATTAATTTTTATTCACATTATTCACTAATATTCATATTATTCACTAATTATGGTGAGCATAATCTCTGGGCCCTAGGCAAAATGTGTTTCATTTTACCATTTGTAATAGTTAAGCTATGTCATGTCATTAGCATTATGTCACTCTGACATTTACAAAGCTACAAAGTCAGTTGTCATAACCTGTCATTGCACCCAAAAAAGTATCATGACAACACAATATTAGAGACAAAAATCAATTTCATTTCACATGGTGTGATTTGTGTGATTTCAACGTGATTTCAGAGTTGACAAAAGCAGATGTCATCTTTGAAATAAGCCAGAATAAATGTTTGCATTGATTTGTGTCACTTGTCATGATGTACCAATGTAGGTGTCATGTAGACTTATGAAAACTACTGTACAGTAAAGTGTTACCAAAAACCTCTTAAAGACTTCTAAACAGTGCATATTTAGAAAATTTCTAAACAAAATCTGTGCATTCCACTTGTGTGCAACTATTATGTGCCATAGTCATCCCACATCAGCAGTTTGCATTCTATTATTATTCATTGAGTTTCCAATTACCTTTATAGTAACCAGCAGGTGTCACTCTTATTTAAAAATGTATGTTTTAAAAGGGGGGATTGATTTTATGCAAACAATCTGGACAGACAGGCCTACTCAGCACAGGCAACAAAAAGCCTTAGACAGCAACACAACAAATATAACAATCTAAACTTGACCATGGTGTGGGGAAAAAGCCCACCTGAAAATAACTTGCCTGACCTCTCATGAGGCTGGACCACCTGTGCTTTGTTTTCCAAGCAGGAAAGGTCAAGGCCTTGGGTATTGACCCTGTAAGCTCAACAGCAGCTGCCTTAGTCCCCACAACTTCATCCGAGATATTCCACCAATCAAGCACCCTTTTTGTCCCACCATACATTTTCAAAGAGTACATGCACAGAATATGAAATAAATCTATAAATAGAATGAGTTATTAGCTTAATATACAGAATAATTATGATATGTTTAATGGAATGAAAAAAAAAAACAAATTTACACAATTCTCCACTCACCCCAGAGGTAGTCAAGCAGCCAAGACATGTTTGGTGTCCAAAATTTGCTTAAGTTTAGCATTGGAGCTAAAAAGGTAGCATTGCTAACAAACACTAGAAGTCAATAGTCACCCAAACCTTTTCCATAAATACATCCCTAAAACTCCTCTCAACCCACTTAAAAACCACATCCAAGTCTTCATTAATGTCACGCAGTCTTGTGGATGCGGTTTCAGACACAGTATTCACATACGTCACATATCCAAACACGTCACACAGGCATATGGATGCTACAGATTATGTACACTATTTCTGTTGTTTGTATTAATAAATAACTGTTAATTTTGATTTTTCAAACTGAAAACACATATTTATAAATAAAGCAACAACAGAAATCACAGCTGAAATCTAGCATCTATATGTTTATGTGACGTGCGTGAACATAAAGGGGAGTCAGATTCCGAGCCGACTCCCCTTCACAATACTTTACAATACAGCTTTCAGATACATGGTGAAGTTTTGTTCATTTTTATAGCTCACAGTAAGTTATTTTGTGTTCTAAACCACACTAAGTCTGCACAACCTTGAGAGGGGGAGTTTTGGGGATGTATTTACAGAAAACATTTGGGTGACTATTGACTTGTAGTGTTTGTTAGCAACGTTAACCTTTTAGCTCTAGCACTAAAGTAAAGAAGCAAAATTTAACTTTATCTCGTCTACTTCTGGGGTAAGTTAAGTTGTATAAATTAGTTTTTTTTTTCCACCAATCAATAAATTAAGTTTTTTCTCCACCGATCAAGCACCTTTTTTGTCCCACCATACATTTTCAAAGAGTACATGAATATGAGCACGGAATATGAAAAGATTGTATAAATAGAAGGTGTTATTAGCTTAATATACAGAATAATTATTATACGTTTTATGGAATGAAAAAAAAAAAATTACACAATTTTCCACTCACCCCAGAGGTAGTCAAGCAGCCAAGACATGTTTGGTGTCCAAAAAGAGTTATTAGCTTAATATACAGAATAATTATTATACTTTTAATGGAATGAAAAAAATAATAGTAATATAGTCCCACACACATTCATTCAATGTGTATGCGATTATATTATTAAAAGTTGGGAAAATTACTTTTCTCTTGGTCATACTGCTTGCAAGTGTCTTGATGATTTCTTGTTTTGTCATATGAATAGGTTTCTAGACCTTACCTGTAAAGCACAGGGCTCCATCACCTACAGTTGTTACCTCTGCTGCTGCAGACGAGTGTTCGTTTCACACTTGTCTTAGAAGGCTGCCTTAACCCATGGCCCGAATAAAAACAAGGATAATCAAAAAGCAAATATTGATGTCTGGAGAGCGTGCATTCCTGCTTCGACAAATCAGCTTTTGCAAATAAGCGTCGTCGGCTCGGTCTCAGAGATCCGTTCGGCAAGGTAAACAAGTGGATCAAATCTCCGCCTTGGGCCGCATAGTTTAGATTAACGCTAGGTCTGGTTCAGGTTGGGTTCAAATGCCTCAGTACAATGTTTTTGGCCCTAACAGTTCTCTAATCAGGTGCGTCTGATAGAGACTGTGTTCTTTAGAATCACTTTTTCATCTATGGTCTTAAGCAGAACACACAAATTTCACGTCCTAGCGTGTGAGTATTTAGCATACAGTGACAGTCAGTCCTGACTGAATGTATGTTTATATTATTGTAAAGACATTCTGACCTCAAGGCTTACACTAAAAGGGCAAAAGTGTCCAGACACCCCTTCTAAATAATGTATTCAGCTACTTTACGTTGCACCTATTGCTGACACAGATGTAGACACAGCTTGTATAATCTCTGTAGAAAAGCACTCTCAGTAGAATGGGAGACTTTGGAACAGCTGCACATAAGCCTAAGGTCAGCATTATGCCCAAGGCCAAGCACTGAAACTGTTCTCTGGCGTAATGGAGCTCCATCCACTGCCTTTGTGATTAGTTGGAGAAGGTGTTTGTGATCCAGAACCAATCATCCAAGATCAGTACCTGACCTCACTAATGATCCTGTGGCTGAATGCGACCAAATCCTCACAGCAATGTTCCAGCATCTACTGTAAAGCCTTCCCAGAACTCCCTATTGCTCCATATTACTCCCTGTTAATACCCTTGATTTGAGAACAAGCGTTGGATGACATTACTGTGTTGAGAATGGTCCACCACCAAAATAATATCTGGTCAGCAGGGGTCCTATGGTTTATCTTTCCATTGATGGTGGGACTGATATTTCATACAGTAATAGACAGGCTACAGTAATTGTAAACCTTCAAGGTGCACCTAGATGGTAGGTGAACATGATAAAATGGCCCAAAAAAAACAGATAAAATGTACCTGGCAACTGCATGTATGTATAAGATTTTTTCCAATGCAAATATTTTAAATGGAAAAAAATAAAATATGAAATGAAATATTACCACAGCAAGCATCAAGTTCTTAGCCTGTGGCGTAACTATTGGGGGACAGGGAGGCAATTGCACTGGGAGCTATGGCACAGGGGGTCCTACGGTGACCGGGCCCCCTAAAATCTTTATTGGGCCCCTTATATAGACACTGACACAATTGTACACTAGTGACTCAGAAAGATCCAATTTCTTAACAACTTACATCACCAGTTAGCTTCCATCTACAACATCCAACCAGACTTAACTCCTCTTATTCATGTTACATCACATCTATGGTAATTATTTTTAAACAGATCCTTAATCTGCACCATGATATATTTATTATTGATCCTCATCTCATCATCTTACATAGGTAGGCTAATGTAAACATTTAGGTGAACGTTAGATGCTAGTAGGTTGAGTGGCATGCCTTGAGAGCATCAACTTGTAAGAGACATAACAATAGCAAGTAAACAAGCAAATTACATTGTCCTTTTTAATTCCTTGAAAGTAATTTTTGAATGTGGGGATTTTTGATGCACTGTGGCCCTTAAGATCCTAGTTATGCCACTACTCTCAGTATATGTGTACCTTCTTCCGTCCTGCTGAAGAAGCATAGCGTGTGGATGCTTGAGATAATGCATAGTATGTAAAGCGTATGGTATCACCATTTTTGTTGTTTCTTATTTTTTTAAAGAATGCAGTTTAAACTATGTTGAAATGTCATGATGAATGGAGCAATAGAAATGCTCCAAAATTACTTGGGAAAAATCTTGCTACATTAACTTCCATTCAAAGTTAAGAGTTTTTTCCTTCTGTGGTGAAGTTACCATTGTGGAGATACAATGTTTTGTTCTAACAGTGACAATATGTTCTACCTTGCTTGTAGCAGTGTAACAGGGATTTTTTCAGTAACAAGCCCTGGCAAAGTGCTCCTGCTGTTTTCCATTTCTAACATCTGAATGAAACACATTGGTCAAGCTACTACTTGTACTTGCAGTCAGTGACATATGTAGGACTTCTAGAAGGCCTAGCGTGATGCTTTCTCAAATGAAATGGGTTCCTCCTTTTGTAAATTAAAACATGATTGGTTGATTCCACTGTCAGCTCCTAATTTTATAAGTAGTTAATCTAACATGTTAGGCCTTCAGTTTAGCTCCTAAAGTCCTAACTAATGGGAGAGCTCACTTGGCTATCTACCTAGATACAATAGAGAAACAAATCCCGATTGGATCATTTTTACATTGGACTTTTTACATTTTTAACCTTTTAACCTTAATTTTAACATTTTGGCCTCCAACCGAAACTTAACAATGAAAATGTAAGTGTTGCTACAATATTGCAGTGTTAAAACATAATAAGCATGATGATTCTATTCAACAAAAATGAGCTAAAAATAGAGAAATAATTAGGCCCCCACTGCTGACCCCTACCGCAGACATGGTCCCAAAAAATTATTATGATCTTAGAAGAAAGAAAGGCAAAGAAGGTTGATTGATACACCAATGATGGTGATTTATGTCAAGCCATAATAGCCCCAAACATGAATACATACTGTGCATTTGCCTGCCAAGTTAATTGTGACACTTATGGTGCAGGGTGAGCACAAAATTGCAGTGAAGTCAACCTCTTTGTGGCAGGCTCACAAGGCATGGCAGCCTGGCCTCTATATGAGCTTCCAAGGCCGAGCGTAATCCCTGTCTTGTAAAACACCGCTTTACTCTGAATGCCATGTGACCCTCAGAGTGACTTAATCCTATTTCTGACAACACACACACACTCTGTCCCTCTCGCACATACACACTCACTGTGCGGCTTGTTATACAATACTAGAAGACCATGCTCCTCTCATGCTGGGCTGAAAGAGCATGTGAGGGAGGTGGCAGCATGTGTGTGTGTGTGTGTGTGTGTGTGTGTGTGTGTGTGTGTGCACGGGGGGCGTCTGGTAATGTGTTGTCAAAGAGAGGATTAAAACGCCACGTAGGCTGACTGCCAAGAAAAGAACCCGCTCTCTGGCCTTTTCTCTCAAGCTCTTGAGTAATGCTGGTCTACTTTGTTACTTTAAAAAAATAGTTTGGCAAAACATCAAATTTACACGTTATTCCCCTTCCCCCAAATGTAGTCCATCAGCCCAGACAGGTTTGAAGCCCCAAGTTTGCTACTTTAGTTTTTAGCACTGGAGCTACTTAAGGCTAATGAAGCCAACAGGTAATAGAACTGTGATAAGTTGATCATTTGCAAAATAATGATTGATATTCCTTTTAGCCAAATAGAATCTTCTCTTAATGCTACTTCCTCCAACAAAACTCGGAGGTGAACAAACCTGCAGTGAGAACGGCAGTGGCAGTAATTAGTCTGAATTATTAGGCTAACAGAAATGGTGAAAAAGTGTTACTGATAATTAAAATACACAATATCTTTATCATCTGAAGGATGGTGTTTTTATTTCATTCCAGACAGAATTATGCTGGCTCTAAGATAAACCGAACTTCATCTGAGTTAATGTATTTGCTATTACAGGTTTGCAGTTTGATTGAGTGCTATTAGCTTTCATTATTTGTTAGCTACATTAGCCTTGTAGCCCTAGTGCAAAACTAAAGAAGCAAACTTTAGACACTATTTCCTTAAACTGAGCACTCAAATACTGAGCATTCAAACACTGTTAATCTCCACTGCTAAACAACAATGAAAGTTTTTTTTTTCAAAAATTACTGCATACATTTCCAGAGTTGAACAACTGCAGTCAACAACATTAATTCGAGACGTTTGCAAAGCCAAGTTAACTGAAATGAAACCTACATTCTCCAGCACATTCAGCATACTTTCAGATCACTGCCATGTGATTTAGCAATTGACGGATGGCTAAAGCATTGACGTAATGGCAGAAGAATTCAAGGAGTGTAAAAAGCAGTGAAGTATGGAACTTCGGTGGTGACCTTGGACTCCCACGTCCTCCCTTCTGATAAATTTGTCTTAGAATTGTTGGATTTTTTTTTTTCAGTCCAGCAGCTGTCTGGCAACATGTGGTATGAAGAGAGAGGATCGAGCAGGGAACTCCATTTTTAGTGACAACTGCACATGCTGAGAGGACCAGCTTATGGACCGTGCCAAGAAACGCAAAATCACGTCCCTCTCTTACACCTTCCAAACGCTTTTGAGCACGTCTAGTCCCCCTCGCAGGCCTGCCAAAGCTTCTTCTCTGGCATGTATTGCTTTTGTTGAGACACAGAGCTGGACGTAGAAGAAAATATCACCTCTGTGAAATATGGATTTTTCGGCTGGTTCAGATTTCTCAAACCTGGAGCGCTTCCAAAGGGCTCCTCTTGTCCTGTGCCGGATGAGGTCAGCAGGCAGCAGGCGACACATGTGCTCCCACAAACCCCCCACCCCCCCAGCTACACGGGTTTCAAAAGCAGCTAACCAACATGGCCATGGACTGAAGTCCTTTAGTGCAGAAAGGTCTGATGGCCAGTGGAGAGATACTAATACTAACCTAATATTTTCTAACCTAGAAAAAATAAAATATGATGTTTGTGTGGGTTAATGAAGCAAAAACAATCATAACAGACATAACATTCATAATTCAACCTCTGTTTACGTGTTAAAATTAAACAGGCTGTTTTAGTGCCTTTAAGACATGTATATGTAAATGAACTTCTGATTGGCTGCCTCATTCAAGAATCAGTCTGGCTTTGAAAGACTCAGTGTGAATGGGTGGGGCTAAATTGCTTTGGGCTGAAGGGGTGATAAATGAAAATGTAATGGTTTGTATGACATCATAATTCAAAACAGGCTGTTTTTGTAGCTTAATTCCTATATATAAATGGCCTGTTCAGAAACTTGAACAAAGTTTACATACTACATTCATCTCTTTTATTTAAAACAAGTGTGAAAAATTCAGTTGTATGTGATACTGGCCTGTATTATGATTATTAGTATTAATTACTAGTATTAATTATCAATATTGTTAACCACAATAACAATAACCA